CAGCAGTTACTGCACTGATGTTAGCTTTGAAAGAAAATTTCACATGTCAACACACGAAAATGGTTTGCTGGAATTTTCCTGTTATAGTGATTTAGCACTTCTTGGCACTACCTTTTTGTTAACCACATATGCTTTAGAAGTGTACATATCGTTTTTGTTTAACTATTTTCTAGATATCTAACAACTCTAATTGCTGTTTAATATTTGTGGGACTTGTCATTTTAAAGATGCAACACTTGCTGAAAGATTAAACATGTGTCCTTTGGTATATTATTTCTTCTGTTCACCATGAACCATTTGGTTTGGTTTGTCAGGCAAAACAGATCCCTATGTTGTTCTAAGCCTGGGGGATCAAATTATACGTAGTAAAAAAAACAGTCAAACTACTGTTATTGGGCCACCTGGTGAGCCAATTTGGAACCAGGTACTGTTATATGGTGCTTCCTAGCATCCTGCTTCATCACTTGAATTTCATTTTCTCCTAGGAAATTTTTAATTGGGATCCTCCAGTAAATGGATGGATACTTTTATCTGAAGCTATAAATTTTTATAATCCTTCACTTTTTTGTCTGCCAGGATTTTCAAATGCTTGTGGCAAACCCTAGAAAGGAAAAATTAAACATCCAAGTGAAAGACTCTCTTGGATTTGCAGATTTGACCATTGGTTCCGGAGAGGTATGCTGTTATTTGTGAACAAAATTTCAATTATGTTAGAAAGTATTCTGTTTCTGATGATAATCATAGTTAGTACTTTCACAGCCATTGCTGACAGGGTCAGCACAAGTGACATTGAAAAACCTCAATTCTAAAAACCAGAGGGCATTTTAGTTGATGAATGGTCAACTGTAAGAACATAGGATAGCCAGGTTGAATGTCACTGTATAAGGAAGTCTAAACTATCCTTTCATTTTCCTCTTGCATGTGGGTGTCTATCTAATGCAATGCTTTTTCACTTCTCAGGTTGATTTGAGGACTCTCAAAGACACTGTCCCAACAGACAAGATAGTGGTCTTGGGAGGAGGTTGGGGATTGTTCAGAAAGAGATCCAATGGAGAGGTACTAATTAGACTGACATATAAGGCATATGTTGAGGATGAAGAAGATGATACAACTGAGCCTAGATCGAGTGAGACTGATGCTTCAGATGATGAATTGTCTGATTCTGATGAATCAGAGGTCACATATGAGGAGGGTGTGATGGACTCTACAAAAGAAACAGATAGAGAGTCATTTATGGATGTTCTAGCAGCTCTGATTGTGAGTGAAGAATTTCAAGGCATAGTGTCATCTGAACCAATCAATAACAAATTTTCAGAAGGCATCCCAGCGACAGGACCTTTGGCATCAAGATTACGCCGTGCTAATGATGAATCTGCACCCTCAGAATCTGATAAAGGCGTGGAAGTACTTGGAGGTATGACATTTTAAAAACCTGTATCTATGCCAAGGCCAGTTTTTCAATTTTCCTTTTTTTTCCTGATCATGTTAAATAACATGTATTCTGCAGGATCAGCCTTATTCTGGTTTGCTATCATTACAAGTACATTAGTTCTTATTGCTATCAGTACAATTGGCTCAAGTTTATTCAACCCTTGATACCATCAGCAGGAGTTTTGTTAGGATTTACTGCTTCTCTTTGATCAGGTAAATCCCTAAAACCTTCTGGTAACAGTTGCTGGAACTCCTTTTATTTAGGTAGCAATGAACCCACTAAAAGAGTGCCTACATTTCTTATTGGCAGGCTCTAAACCAAGCATTTGCAAATTTCCTATCAGCTTAAGAAGTATATTCATTTATTTGGGTTTTCCTATGGTGATTAGAAGAGGAATGCTCTGTCCCCGGTAGAAAAAATTTTGGCTTCATTTTCCCCAGGCCATTATAACTGTAATTTACCTTGTATATCCATTTATGTTTATATGATTTTTTCTTTTTGCCATTTAAACTTACATTCCAGTATAAATTCACTCATTTAATGTTATAATGTTATAAGATAAAATTGTGTGAATTAGTTTAAGCCTTGTCATTCTCTAGGAAAAAATATAACCTCGATGTTTCACAACAAATTTTTGTAATCCTAAGATGGAATCTACCGGTAAATGAATGCTTAATAGATTATTTTTATGTTCCAACTCGTCTAAATACATTATCTTAATATGAAAAGTGTGTCTTTAAAATTATTTAAGAATAATAAATAAAGTGTAACAAGAAGTACTTTTTTCCTTTCTTGAACACATAACTTCTCACTTGAACATTCATATTTAAAATGTGCAACCTAGAAGTTTAAATACAAGTAGTATGTTTGATTTGAGAAAAAAAAAAGAAAAAAAAGAGAGAGACGGAGGGAAATGAAAGAAAATGAAATGATGTACTTTCATTTCTCTCCATTTTTCATTCATCCCTCTTTTTTTTTCATTTAAATAAATAAATAAATTGAAAAAAAATTACCTCCATTTTCCATCTCTCCTCTTTTCTTCATTTAATTTCAATAAGTAAATAAATCTAAAAATAAGAAAAAATATTTTGCTTCGCTCTCTTTCAATTTTTTTATCCTAACCTCCTCATATTTAAAAATTATATTAAATTTTGGTTAATTCAAAATCAAATTATATCAAATTTTATAAGAAAAACTCTCCCAATATTTTTTTTTATTCATAAAATTTGAATTAAACACTTTATTTAATAAAAAATCAAACTCTTTTTAATCAAATTAAAAGATACTTACTCCTTTCAATTCTTTTAATTAAAAAAAAAAAAAAGAAGTTTTTTCTCGTCTTATACCCTTCTATCTCCTCAACCCAAACACATCCGGTCAATCAGCATGGGGATATCATGTTGTAACTTGTTAACAAAGGTCCAAGTCATTTATATGAAAGATGCTGGTGGTAGTCTGTGGGCTGGAGGTCCACTTGCAATTACGACCTATATTCTATTCATATGATTCTCCCCACATTCCCTCACTAATATTTTCTGCAACTGAGGAAGGTCGTATTGGCTGTATACCATACACGTTCCCTTCTCCAATCAAACAAGCTATCATACTCACAATCATCTGATTACTGGGGAAGGCAGTTGCAAATTTTCCTCTGTTATATATATTTGTTACCATCTCCTTGTTTCGCAATTCCCACCTACACCAAGCATTATGGCTACTGCTTCGGTTTACCAGGTGCAGACCTCTCCGCTGAGTGAGGCTCAGGAGTGTCTGCTGCAGGTTGTTGACGGAGATGAAGAACCGGTGGCGGCGGCTGTGGCAGAGTCTGGATTGAAGTTTCGGATTCGTGATCTTAGGAAAGTGTCTGACGCGGGGGTTTCTATTCTGAATGGAATTAATGCGGATATTCCTAAAGGCATGATTGTTGGGATTATTGGGCCGAGTGGGAGTGGCAAGTCTACCGTGCTTCGGTCGCTTAATCGGCTCTGGGAGCCCCCGAAGGGCACCGTGTTTTTGGATGGCCGGGATATTCTTGATATCGATGTTCTTAGTCTCCGCCGGAAAGTCGGCATGCTCTTCCAGCTCCCCGCTCTCTTCGAAGGTAATAACAGAATCGCAGAACAGTATTGATTTTATCAAATTGAAGTCAAAAAATTATCCCCAAATTTGGTTGTTGAAATAATCTGATAATCTTCATATTCATGAATTTCAGGCACGGTTGCTGATAATATACGATTTGGGCCTCAGCTCAAGGGACAGAAATTGACAGATAGTGAGGTTTACAAGCTGCTGACTCTTGCAGACCTTGATTCCTCCTTCTACAACAAGAATGGTAATGAATTATCTGTAGGTCAAGCTCAAAGAGTTGCCCTTGCTAGAACCCTAGCTAATGATCCAGAGGTATATCCCAATTGCCCAATTCCTTAACATCACATGAATTTAACATATTTTTGGTGTCATTAAGGGCTGCCATCTGATTTGGGATCCCATGCTTGATTGAAGGTTTTGCTGTTGGATGAGCCAACTAGTGCTTTGGATCCTATATCGACACAGAACATAGAGGATTGCATAGTGAAGTTGAAGAAGAAGGGGATGACTGTGATGATGGTTTCTCATAGTATCAAGCAAATCCAGAGGATTGCAGATGTGGTTTGCCTCCTTGTGAATGGTGAGATTGTTGAAATCTTAAGCCCTGATAAGCTCTCTGAAGCCAAACATCCCATGGCACTCAGGTTTCTTGAATTGAGTTCTTAAAATCACATTATGTTGTCTCTATAATGCAAGATACATCCTTTTGGTCTAATCATCCAGAAAACTATGAAATCTTACCACTCTTGAAAATTAAGTGAATTGTAGATCCGTTCTCAATGAAGTTTGATGTTTTGCTTTCTGGGTTTATTTATATTCTGCTAAAGTTTGTATCTTTAACAAATTAGGAATTGTGAGGAAAAACTACATTTTTATTTATTTTCTATGCAAACTTGCAAAGGCAACAGTAAGTTTTCTGATTTTTGTGATTGTATCCCCTATGCTAAAAATTCTGTATTCTATTAGTTACATTAAATAGGCTTAGCAATTGCTGCTGTGATTACCTCTGTATGCTCCTGCTTCTGCTTCATCTCCATCTCGTCTCTGTTTAATATGTTCCACATCACTTGTATGTCTTTATATTCACAAGTCTGTACATCATTCTTTAGATTTAGTAGACCGCTGCTGCGGCCACCACCACCTACAGCTCTATTGCCACCATCTCTACCACCTGCTCACACACCCAAAATAGAAGAACTTAGTATTGGATAACAGCAGATCAATCTGCAATGCACAGAGATACTAGCTATAGGCTTGACCTTTAGATTTGCGAAGCTTGATGTTTGAAAATTTAGAAATCAAAACTCTCTTTAGCTTCTCCCAGCAATCCATCTATCTCTCTCTCTCTGATCCAGCCCCCAGAGGGAAGAGAAGAGTTTGGCAACTTTTTGTGCCAGAAAGTTCATTTGGCTTTCTCTGCCCCCATTTAATAAATATTTATGCACTTAGCATGAAAGAAAGAGGGTGAGAAATTTATTCATATGATTATGGAATCAGCGGGTGAGATTTCAACTGTCATGTATGTTAAATCTGGGTATTAGTCATTAATGCCGTGGATAAGTGTTGATCTTAAATATCTATTTTCTCCTTTTCTAAGGGATTTTCTTGATCCCACTCGATCCTCAATAATTGTTAGAATGGTACCATAGTCGACTTCCATTTCTTCGATCCTTTACCAATTACAGCAGCACGATTTTTTGGTGTAGTTATGGCCACCAACATATTTAAAGATTTGGTGGCTTTAACAAGAGAGTTGGTGGCTATAATCACACTTTAATATTTTAATTAGATATCTCTTAATAAAATGTTTTAGTTGTTAAAAACTTTAGTTTTCATTTTGAAAATCTTAAATTCAAATACTAAATGAGTGTGAGAAATTTAAGAAGGTAAAGTTATTTTTATTGTGTATTCTATCATTGAAGTAAAAAAAAAAAAAACTTTAATTTGATTCAAAATTTATAAATATAGAGATTTAGGAGCTGAAACTAACTTTTTAAAAACACTGGAGTTTAACTTATAATATTATGAGAAAATATTTTATATTGCGAGCTAATAATTCTTTGCTATACCTTTTCCCGTTGCTTGTTGCTTTATCCTTTTTTTTTTCTATCTTGTGTTACATAGTGAAATATAACAATTTTTATTTCTTTTCTCACTTATTTATATTCAATGTGACTTGAATTTATAACTTTTTATTTTCATAAGATATTACCACTAAATTATTTAAGTAGTTAGTTATCACTTTACTAGTTACTAATGAAATATATAATTTTATAGTTTTATTATAAGATTGGTCAAATTAACAATATTATCTATAAGGTTGAGGGACTCCATATTCTTAGGTCATTAGGGCAATTAATGCAATATTTAAGTTTTAAAATAATTACTTAATTTTTAAAATGTGTAATTGAAAATTAGTGTAAGTTACTCATAATTTAAACCATACACCAAATACTCATTTGCCTTTTCAATGAAAACAAATTTATATTATTAGAATAGCAGCTGGCCTTCTTGGCCTAGCGGCTTTACCACCCTTGATAATTGCCCCTCTACCCCTCTTGGGTTGGGTATGATTCCCTTGCCCCCAATTTGTGATATGTTCAAACAAAAAAATTATATTATTAGAATAGCAAAGCACAAGTTCTGCATGTTTTGGTTGTGGTGGGCACACTATGTTTAGGCCAAGCGTTCGAACCCATACCAACCCCTTCTCTCTCCCCACCAATAAAACATTGTACCAATTGTTGACCTTTCTAAAAAAAAAAGAAAAGAAAAAGACAAAAAAAGAAAACAACAACAACTACTAAGCCCAAAATTCTCTTGTAGGTTAAAAGAAGAAGTAATGCTATAGGGCGATGGGTTTATAGGCCGATGATTATATATATACACGGTAAAGTGCGCATCAGTTATACCTTTCAAAAAAAATTTGGAGTCCCAACTAAAACGACGTCGTTTTCCTCTCAAAAACCTAGTTCTGCTGTTCATTTTTTCTCTTAAAAATTCCAGCCCCTGCTCCTTGCCTCCTCCATTCATTCAATTTTTCACTCAAAAAACCCACCAGTAATGTTGCCCCCTCTGCAATCATCTCCATCGCTCCCTATCCCCCTTTTCCCTCATGTGAGGTTGAGGTGATTAGAAGCCAAGAGACATAACCACGCCTCCTAATGAACTCAAAGTGCCATAGAACAAAAGAAATCAAGATTTATGTTCTTTTATCACACGAGCTTGAGGGAGTTGCGAACCAATTTATTTGGGTTTTGCAAGTTTGGTTGCTGTGATTGTGGTTATAATAGTGTTGAAATTGAATGATGAGAATTGAAACTGCAATTTTAGTTATAATAGAGGAAACCCAGATCTGGGTTTCTTTTCTAGGTTTGTTTTTGAATGGTCTAGCCATGGTTGCTTTCTAGGTTAATTCGTTAACGGATTGCTGATGTCAAATGACGTCACACGTTAAATTTGGGGTGATTTGTCCAAGTCGAAAACTTTGTGGATGGATTTGTCCTCGTTTTTTGTTCAAGGGTGGATCCGTCCCTGCCACTATACTTTGAAGGTGGATTTGGGTATTCTGCCATTGCAGAAGGGGCTTAAAGGAGATGGAGATGATTGCGGAAGGGACAAAGAAGAGCTGGGGCTAAGGATTAAGAAACGAGTCATTTTGGTTGGGACTCCAATTTTTTTTTTTCTGGAGGTACCACTGATGCGCACTTTCTCGATATATATAATTTAATTTTATCTAATTCGTTAAAAATAATATAAATCTTCTTATTCTGTCAAAAAAAAACATTTAGTATTCTAACTATATTTCTTTTGATTTTTTAGTTATTCAATTTATATTCACCATAAAAATAGTTTTTATTCTTATATTACTAAATGTGTTTTTTAGAAAACTATTTTATAAAACAAACTGTATGCAGTTTACCCTAGAAAATTATTTAAATATTTTTAATTTTATTTTTATATTATTTTTTCAAAAAAAATTAATTAATTTTACAAGATAGATTGTATACAGTTTATTATGTAAAACAGATTTACTTTTGAAATTTCTCATTCTAAACTTACTAAGTTTCCTTGTTTGAATTGGGTTAATTGCTCAAATTTATTATAAATTCTAACTAATCTATTTCTATAAAAAATTTCTTAAATCATTATATTTTATGGAGATTATAGTGTCATTTTTTAAAACTTAAAAGAGTGCTCTTTAGATTTAACAAAAACTATGTACGGTAGACTAATTTGAAACATTCTTCGAAGTTTAGAGATCATTTAAAAAGAAAATAAACTTTCTAAATTAAAATAAAATTAAATTGATAGTTAATAAATTAATTATTGAATTAAGCCCTTTAAAAGGTAAAGATAACTGATTGGGCTTAAAGTGATCCAACATTTACACCCAAAATTAAATGGGCTTGGACGACCCTCATTACTACCCAAAGGTGACACTCTTAATTTATATCATAAAATGAAATAGTGACATTCTTGATTTGGGCCTTTTCACAATTTATATTTTATACAATCAACAAAGAAAAATGATATACCTATGGCAGTTAAAAATTAGAAATTAAAATTCTTAAGTTTAAATCTTAAATTGGGTGAAAAAAAATTTGATAAAAGAAGATGACCATCTCATTTTGTATAGTCTTTAATTACATATTAAAAAAATAAATATAATATAATTATAATATTATGTGTTATTGTTAACTAATTTATAATTTTAACATATAATAATATAATTCTCTTTTTGTTTAAAACTTAACTTATAATAATATATGCATTCATTTATTTAATTCTTTTTTATTAATTTTATTTATTTATTTATTTACATATGATATTTGTAAACATAATTTTTATAATTTAACAAAACATTGTAACTATGTCATTGATGTTCCAAAAACTAATCCCTATTTAGTTTGATTGGAGAGGGAGAGAAGGGATGGAAACTTAAAAAAAAAAAAAAAAAAA